GAATTTTTTTACATATTTTTTTTTTAAATAAATTTACATATTTGTTAAACATATGTTCCAGAAACTATTAAACATGTAGCAAATATTCCATTGAGACACTATTTTAAAATGATCAAAATAAAAAGTTTTGTTTCTGCTAGTGATTGTAATAAATAGTTTGAGATTAATCAAAATATTGGTTTAGTCAGAAACATTTAAAAAGAGAAAACAGGCGAATGGAATGTAATGGATAGGTTATAGTTAGGGAATTAAAAGCTTTTAAATCGTTATTACAGATCCGCTCTTTTCCATTGATTTTTCTATATTTTATGCATGCAAAATGACTGATGTTAACGGAGTTTACCCACCGTCAGATATAAATAAAGATATAATTAGATGTTTAAATGCAAAAAAATGGCTTTATTGTTATGCATCAACCTTATTTTTTAATTATTGATATTTTTTGACTTTGATTTAAAATTGTACACCTGCAATATTAACAATGATTTCATAATAAACATAATTATAACTTATACTTACAATACCTATACTTGTAAATACTGATAAAATTTTTATTGATATGAACTTTTGCATTCAAACTTTATTTATAAAACTTTTATTTAACTTGATAACTTTAACATAAATAATAATAGATATATAATAATAGATAATAACTAAAAAAAGATAATAGTTATTATATAGATATAAACATATGCTTATTTATTAGAATTGAGTTATAGTAAGTTAAACACGATAAAATGTTAAGTTCCAGGTAATAGGTCTTATATGATATGTATCTTATGTATATCTTTTATTTTGCAGCATGTTCAAGAGTATTTCTGCGTGGTGCACTCTAACTGTTGACAATATTAGCATACTGATATAAGTAAAAGTCACTTTAACAACCAGAATGTATTTATGATAAATATTAGTAATAACAGGTTAGTAAATATAATTATAATAATAATGGTAATAACTTTTTATTATTAGAATTAGTGAGAGACTTATGTATAATAAAAATGCATTCGGGACAAATATAATGATTTGAGTAAATATGTTTATTACCTCGATTAGAGTAATGTAAGAAAATAATATTTTTATCTAAAGAATATTTGGCAAAAATCAGTATTTCCTAAGTATTAAATATTATGAAAAAATATGTGTTTAAAAAAAATGTATCATAAAATAAAAAAATAAGTATTTGAGTATAAAAAAAAACACATTTATTATTATAATTTATATACATCACATTAACTATGTTTTCTATAAAGTAGGGGTTGCAGCTGATATTTCAGCTTCAGTTATTAACTCATTAGCTTCAGATTAATGCTGAAGCTGATCAAGTCAGTTTAATCAGCTTGATAGCTGATAGTAAAAGATAATAATACCCCATAAATATTTTAAATAAAAATATATAGGAATTTATTCAATGAAAGTCTAAAATAGTGACAAAATTTAAACATACGTGTAAAAAATTTTAAATAAAATTTGCCAAAAGTTGTTGCTATTTATAAATGTTGCGGTCAGAGCCTAGACCTAGGACTCACAATATTAGGGGACCCAAATTGGGTTTTTTGAAATTTGTTCAAAAAGTGGTGTCCACAAGTCTAATTCCATTTTTAATTATTTTAAGGGGACCAACTATCTTTTTTTCAAAAAGGGTAGATGATGTCTTTACAGAAAATTGCAACTTTTTATCTTTTTATTTAATTAAATAAATGGATAAAAAAAACTTTGCTATACATACTACGCATGTGTCAAGACTATCAAGCATGCCGTACATACTGCACATCAAAGATCAGCCTGGGGATTAGATACACTATTGGAGAGATAGATATATCCATCTCTTTTCACAAATGTAATTTTGATGTTGTTAGAAAAAGAGGTCTGCAGTACCTATCTATCTCTCCAGGTATATAATACGGCCTCTCAGTTGTGCTGAAAAAAGCAGCCATATGTGCATGCAAAATTTAAATCACTGTCAAACTTGTGTCTGGTGTTTGCCATGTTCTCTGACATGCCGGAAAAGGTAAACAATTTGCGCGCGTGAAATTCAAATCACTGTCAAAATTATTTTAAATACTTAATTAATAAAATTGAAATGAAATAATCTAAAAATATGTTTTAGAAATACAAATGAGTAGAAAATTATACAAATGACTATTTTCAGAGTACAGTATTTGAAAAGAGTACGGTTTGTGAAATAAGAGTACAAAACTCAGTAAATGAGAATAGTTGGTCACCTTAATTATCTACATAATTTTTTGTTAGATTTTAAAGTTCTTGCAAAAGATGCTTTTATCTATAAAAATATCGAGTTTAAAATCAATCTTGCTGTTATCATATGTGATGCACCAGCTAGACCATTTGTAAAGTCTATTAAAGGACACAATTGTTATAACTGATGTGAGTATTGTGTTTGGAAAGGAGAGTGGTTTAGCAAGATAATTCTCCCACATATTTCACTAATTTTGAGCACTGATTCAGATTTTTTGTCATCAAAAGCATTCTGAACACCTTAGTGGTGCGTTAAATTAAATTAAATTTTGACATGGTGACAAAGTTTCCTTTAGACTTTATGCTTCTAGTATACTAGGGGTAATGCGAAGATTTGTCAACTTATGGTTAAATTGCTTAAATGTTGTAATTTGTCTTAGATTACAGTCAATACTTTATCTGGCAGATTGTTCCAGATACGTCATAACATTTTAAGAAATGTTTCTAGAAAATCAAGGTATTAATTAGGTACTAAAAAATGGAAAGCAACTGAAATTAGACTATTTATAGTATACACTCGACCAGTTATTTTAAGGGAATGGTTTTCCAAAAATCTATTCAAACTTTTTTGATTATTCAGTTGTAGTTCTAATTTCATAATGTTTTATTTTGTTGAAAAAATATGTTAATTTTGCTTTTCAGCTACTTATTTTGTGCAGTTTTATATGTGAACTTTATCGTAAGGATCAACTAGTGTACAATGTCCATTTATTAGCACATATAGGAAATAATACAGATAAATTTTAGGTACTTGATAAATGTCCCTCTTTCAAATAGAAAACTTTTTCAGGTCAATTAAAAAAACTTCTTCAAAGACCAAAGGGTTGCTCAAATAAACACATACAAGAAGTTAAACAGAAGTTTAATATTCCTTATTTTGATGGTAGTGTACACTGTTTACAGTTTGAAAATTATCAAGGTTTAGAGTGTTTTGTTTCAGCTAATGAAAGTGATAATTGTTTTGAAATTACAAAAAAATGTTTAAGGTAAAAAAGTTTTAAAAAGCAGACAAATCTTATGACAAATAGGTTATGTTTGAAGAATTTGCAACTTATTATTCGTTTTATATATATATATATATATATATATATATATATATATATATATATATATATATATATATATATATATATATATATATATATATATATATATATATATATATATATATATATATATATATATATATATATATATATATATGTATATATATATATATATATATATATATATATATATATACATTTAACACTTCAATTTATAATTCGCTTTTATAAACTTTTTGTTGTGTTTAAATCATCTGATTTAAACACAACAAAAAGTGTATAAAAGCGAATTATAAATTGAAGTGTTACATTATCAATTGTTGAAAAATAAATACTTTTTAATTGAAATTTTAACTACCAAAAAAGGCATCACGTAAATAAATTATACTACAAATTAAAATTAAATTAATAATAAAAAAAACTTACCATTCAAACCAAACCTATATATATATATTTGTAATTTTTTAAAAACAGTTTAAAAAAGTTTTTAAAATAGAACGATAGAAATTTTTAAGAGTCTGCGTCTCAGAACGGTACAAGATGAAACGAAACAAAACGATGAAAAATATCGTTTCGATAAAACCGTTACAAAACAAAACAATTTTTATCTTTTTTTGCAAAATATGGTACGAAAAGAAATACAATTTTCTGGTTTCGTGATAAATACGGGACACACTTTTTGTTTTGAAAAAACCGGTACGAAACGAAATAAGATTAAACTTTTTCCGAAATAAAACGGTAAAAAACGAAACAAACAAACAAGAAATTTCTGAGTTTTACGAGAAATACTAATGTTTTTACGACAGATAGGGCTAGCATAAAATAAAAAAGTAATTTACTTTTATATTGTACCAATTTAAGCACACATTTGCGATTTTTACGAAAAATCAGTTTTTATTTAGACAATTATATTTCACGATTTTAAAATTTCACAATAAAATATAAAACATTTTTATTTTAATACTTGTTGAGTGTCACTTTCGGATATTTTTTCGGATGATGTTGTTTCGGATTCTTCTGGAATTTCTATTGTTTTTCTTTTGATTCCTGAAGATGTTGGTGTTGATGGTAAAGAAGAAGAACATAATGGCGTTGTTGAAACGTTTTTTGTTTTGAACAATAACCTTTTTTGGTTATTTGAAAAAACTGCTTTAGGAATAGGATTTTTGGGGGGTCCAGGGCTTCTTCAGCGTCGCTTATAATTTTCAAGGTCATGTGAGGACAGACAAGATCATAATTGACTTTAATCAAAGTCAATTGCTTTGCTGTCTGAGTGGAAAGACTGTGTCTTTTATCATTTATAATTCCACCGCTGGCGCTGAACACTCTCTCACTACAGCTTGATGCAGCTGGAATGCAGAGCCAATTTCTTGCCAATTGTGCTAACAATGGCAAAGTAGAGGCATGTTTCTTTCACCATTTCAGCACATCAACTTTATGCTTTTCTTCAACACGAGGCATAGCGTGGAAAGATTCAAACTCCCTTTCAATTTCCGGTTCATTTTGACTAATGGTGTGGTTATTGTTCAATTTCTATATTTTGTAAATCGTCGCACTCATTCACACCAACTGGCATTTTAACTTGTGTAGCTTTATGATTATTTTTTTCACTGATCGAAACAGCGTCCGACGATGGATGATCGTTGATGACTTTTCTGGTGAAGATACCGTAATGTCTAAGCATATATCCTGAAATCATAAACAATAACTGTTAAGTTTAGTCTTTTAACAAATAAAGAATATTAAAGAATGTTTTTTTTACCAAGAAATAAAACTTATAACCTCTAAAGTACGGATGAAGAAGGTTTCCCAAGGCATAGTGTTGGTTTTATCTTCCATGTTCATTGAATCGCGTGGCTAGGTGTAAATGCTCACTTAGTTTTTTACAAAAAGCATTAACTATTTCTCTGTTTTCCATATCAATGTGGTCATGAAGAAAAATTGTCAGTTTTAGAAAGCATAGTTAGCATATGATGAAGCACTGGTTCAGTGTCCTTGGACATGAAATCTGACATAATCTTCATTTTTTTTAAGACTGGCATCAGTGAAGCCATCAGTGAAAATTGGTTGTCACTTGGAATGTCAACTTGAGCAGCCGTGGCGCAGTGGTTAAAGTTCTGGCTCAGAACTCAGAGGTCCGAGGTTCGATGCCAGTTCCAGCCCAACAAGCGACATTGGTACGGAAGGAGGCGTAAACTTCCTGTTAAATGCTCACCCGCGGTGCTCTATGATAAGACCGTAAGGACTTCTGGGAGCACCTAAATAGATACAAAAAAAAAATAATAATAAATAACGTTCTGTAGTGGGTTGTTATTTAGTGCATCTTTTTCTCTAAGAGAAATCAACACATCTTTAAGTTTAAGGATTGACTCCAGCATAAAACAGTTAGAATTCCATCTGGTTTTTACCGGAGCAATGATTTTAACATAGTTTACACGGAGCAACATACACTCTTTTTTAATAAGTTGACAAGCTAAGGTGGATCTGTGGACTTTGCTAGATAGTTGTGTGGCAATATCTATGCATTCTTTGACTTCTTGCACTTCATTGGTAGCATGTAGCAGGCTAGTGTTTAGTAGGTGGTCTGCACACAACAGTGATTCATATTTTGTTTTGTTCATGATTGACGCAGCATGTTTCATGTTTGCCGCCGCATCGTGGACAATGACTTTCTTGGGCACGGCGTCCAATACCGGATATTTTTGGATCATTTCTTCAAGAGCCTTAAACAAGAATGAAGAAAAATTAATGATTTATAAGATAACTTATGCAGCTTTTAGGTTTTACAATAAATTATAATTTCTTTCAATAATTGACAAAATCCTAGAAGAAACGCTATTCTAGCGGAAGGATAAGTTTTACTTTTTTAAATTATTTTTGCACTTACAAATTTATATTTACGAGAACAAATTATATCAACATAAGAAAAATTACTTTGCTAATGTGGTAACCAGTGTGTCTTCCCACGAAATTGTCAAAGTTGAGAACATATTTTTTCAGTTCAAACTGACTATTGATATAGTGAAGCGTAAGAGTCATGTATGGATCCTGTGACCTAGAGGTCCAACCATCAGTGGTGATAGCCACCTGTTGACAAGTGGAAACTTCTTTTTCAATTAGGTTTTGCACAGTATCCATAACGCTTTCATAAAGCAATGGCAGCTTGTACCTTGAAAAAGTCGAGGAATGTTTCACAATTACTTTTGGATTTAAATGTTCCACCATTTCTTTGAAGCATGGTTCATCTACTAGAGTGAATGGACTACTTGACCTGGCAATGTATGACATGATTACCATGTCTGTCTCCAATTGCCTGCCTGATTCGGAAGAATATTTCCCAAAAGTTCCCCCATTAACACATTTAGATAAGCCTTTTTGTGATCGTTGATCTAAAAAAACGAAATAAAAATTAAAGTTAAACATGAAAATTATCTTTATACAAGGAAAAACATTATTTTATGAAAAATAATTAGAAACTTACTGTATGCGTCATTCAGTTCGAAGGCAGCTTCTGTAATTTCTTTAATATCTTCTTCTCTTTGGCGCTCAAGTTCAATTTGGGCTCAAAACATCGTAGCGTAGTCAGTGGGATGCTTTGTTTTCAGATGGTACCTGATACCACTCGTGGATCCATCAGTTAACTTGATTTGGATTTGACACTTTTTACATTCCCCACCTTACACAGTAAATTTATTGAAATAATTCCATAAAATTGTAGCTTTTATAGGCATATTTATATGATTGAGAATTACTATGGTTTTTAAACAATAAATAAATTAGTTTTGCAAAATATTTCAAGTTAACACAACAATATCGCATTTAAAATGTTATATAATATAATTTGAAGTATTTAATTCAAACAATGATTTCAAACTCTTCATGCGAGTTTATAAACAAATACATAATTTATGTCTGATGAACTTAAAGTTAAAATTTTATTACAGTAAAACGGTTTTACTGTAATAAAATTTTAACTTTAAGTTCATCGGTTTTACTAAAACCTACCTACAGAAGACAATATCTTTTTTTAACTTCGTTAGATGCGCTAAGCAAAATGAAAATGATGCTATTGCATTGCTTTGTTAATACATTTTTTTAGTTAAACTTCGATTTACGAAACATTGAGTTAGTAAGTGTTAAACGTAAAAGTTTATGTATTGCTCGAGGGCATGTGAATCGTGAAATATCTGTTTGGGCGGGGAGTTATGAAATATTCCGTAAAAACCGATAAGAAACGAAACAAATTTATTGTGTTTCGTAAATAACGGTACAAATCGAAAAAATAATTTAACGTTTCGTAACAACATGATACGAAACGAAACAAGATTTACGTGTTTCGTATAAATGCGATACAAAACAAAATGATATTTTTTGTTTTGTAAAAACGGAACGAAACGAATACTCATATTTTTTACCGTTTCATACCGAACTTCCGAGCAGACGCAGACCCTTAGTAATTTTACTGTTTTTTATTGTTAGCTACATATATAATCGAATGAATAAATGATGATAACATTCAAATGTTTCGAAACTTTTATTGTTTTATTTTTCGATATCGTTAAAATGCAACAATAGATTTTTTTGTAACGCTATGAAATAAATTTAGTTTCGCTTTAGTTTAGTTTTTGTTTTATTTAAAAAAAAAAGTAAATTGTTGGCTGCTGAACAATTTTTTGTATTTTGTTATTTCATTCACAAATTTTCAATAATATAATAATATAATAAGTTTGACATTTCTTAGGGGGGGTAGCTACCCCTTACTCCCCCCCCCCCCACTTTGTATCCGCTACTGTATATATACATATATATATATATATATATATATATATATATATATATATATATATATATATACATATATATATATATATATATATATATATATATATATATATATATATATATATATATATATATATATAATATATATATATATATATATATATATATATATATATATATATATATTTGATTTAGAAAAAACTAAAATGTATCCATTTATAGTGGATGAAAGGGAAGAACGTAGAGGTTATTGGTTAAGTTAGTTAATTACCAATTAACTAGCTTTTTGCTTATTTCTTTTTTTATAAGACCATATATATTATATACTACAGCCTATAGTATACAATATACAATACTTTATAGAGCATATATGTATGTGTTAAGCATATATATATTTTTAAAATATCATATTTAGATAAAAAAAATATTATTCAAGCCTATTTCCTTTTTTAAAAAAATTTATTGTTTATCTTATTTTTTAAATAATGAAGCACTTCATAGTATAATAAGTCAGTATTCTTTATCGATTCTTTAAATAATGATGCAATGATTTTGTTTTGATGTTGGTGTTTTTTTTGAATTTGTATAACTTGTTTTTCCTTTAGACAATCTAGAAAAAAAATTCCAACAGTTTATGGGTAAATAAAATGATATTTTCATATGTAAAAATATGTTTGTAACTTTTATTTGCGTTACCTTTTATTCTTTAGAAGTTTTTATAGCAACGCAACGGAAATCAGATACTAGTAAGCAAAATAAATAATAATTTGTTGAGCTTCCACCATTGCTCAGTGTATTTATTTTTTTAAATAATTAAACTTTTGTCTAATGTTAAATATTATTATTTTTGCAAAAGAAAACTAAATTATTTTATTTTTTTTTTACTTTGTTTTCTATTTTCAATTTAGTTACTGGTAAGGGTTTGAATTCGAATTTGAGAAAATTCTAAATTGAGGATTTTAAAAATAAATATAAATTATACAAATTTTACAACTTTATACATCGGTTTACAACTTTATACTTTTATTTTGTAATCATATTGTTTATTACAATTTGATTTTTAATCCTTATTGACCACTAGTAGTAATGTAAAAACACTTTTATTTTGTCATCTGTAGTTGTTCTCATCGTCCAATAAAGGTATGTTTTTGTTATTATAATATGATTTTTAATGTTTATTGACGACTTGTAATAATGTAAAAACACTTTTATTTTTTATTCTTTAGTTGTGCCTTTATTTTCCAATAAAGATGTTTTTTTTATTATACTTTGATTTTTTGTAAGTGGTTTGATTTGGAAAAAGGTGCAACAAATGGTACCTTATAATGTGGTGAGTTATCTTTTAATAGTGTCTTGGATCATTTTAAATTTTTTCTTAAATCACATTTTCAAATTTTTTTATGGCTTTTTTTAAAGGTACCACAACTTATATGATTTACATAGAAGGTACCGCAAGTAGTGTGACTTGCAAAAAGGTACCGCAAATAATGTGATTTGCAAAGAAGGTTTCGCAAGTGGTGTGACTTACAAAAAGGTATCATAAATGGTGTGATTTGCAAAGAAGGTACCCTAAGTAGTGTGACATGCAAAAAGGTACCACAAATGGTTTGATTTGCAAAGAAGGTATTGCAAGTGATTTCTAACTCTGCTGTATCTTATGTGGTGAGATTTTTAATAGTATTTTGTATCATTTTGAAATTATTCTTAAATCTCAATTATAAATCTTTTTATTGCTTTTTTAAAGGTACCACGATACGATTTGCAAAGAAGTTACTTTATACATTAGTTAATTGTTAGCCTGAATTTTTATTTTATATATCTGATATTTTTTATCTCATCTATCATTGCAAGGTTACACAAAATGATGAAAAACCACACGATTGCTTTGATGGATGTTGGTCTTTTTCATGTTAATATTAAACCGGTTATATCAAATTTATTTAGAGACTGCTTATGTTTATTAATGCAGTAATAATATATTTATTTATTATCCGGGACATAGGGCATCCTTATTAAATAGGTATGGCGATATTAATTTAGAGGTTTAATTTAGATATCATTGGAGGTTTCTTTCGCCTACAAAAGAATCGACTCTATCTATGAATGTCAGTTTTGTTTGCTTCAAAAACTAGGCTTTTTTCAAAGCCACAAATCTGTTAAAAGCATTACTAAGCACAAAAGAAATCAATTCTTATAGTGTAAATTTTTTGTAAAAGAAGTATGTTTTATAAAAATTTATTTTTATTTTTTGCGGTTTGTTGGAATTTATAAATAGTTAGATAGATATATATGGGCCTACAAGATAGGAACCGTGGTGGCCAATAGTTTATTAGGATATTTTTTTAGTAGATTTTTAGTTGAATTTTATGGTGTTTTATGATCATTTTTTTGTTCTTCGGCCCTCATAGGCGTAGCATGGGTGGGGCAGTCGCCACTTTTGGGGACGCCAAAAGGTTTTGGGCTGAATTTGTAAATTCAAAGCAGTCAAAATATTACTGAAAATGAGATACTTGCGCATAATTTTAGGTGTATATTATGTTGGAAAACCGTCGGATGGGGCTCCGCCCAAGACTTCGCTGGGGAAACTTACAGCACTCCTACAGACCCCTAGCTGGGGACTAAGGCTCTAAGCCGCCCCTCTCCTTAGATTTCCCTACCTAGCAGGATCTCCGTGTGCGGTTCCTACGAGGTCTTGTCGCCAAAAGTCTCCCCCATGACATTTTGTTTTAGTTCGCAGGTCTGTTTCAAGGAGAGGGGGGACAAAACCCCTAGCTACACCACTGCCCCAACTAAAATTTTACGCCTTTGCCGATGGCATATATGTATATATATACAATATATATATATATATATATATATATATATATATATATATATATATATATATATATATATATATATATTTATACAATATATATATTTAATAACATAAATA